GGCATGATGTCCATGCATGGGGTGGGCTGCGGGATGTGCTGCTGAGTAGGCTTTTCTTGGTCGTGAAGTGTCGTCTCTACACGTCGAGTTGGGCGGACTGCTTCGACTCACGTCTACTGTCCGCTCACTGATGGGCTGTCTTCGCGAGGCCAGTGCTGGGTCCCCTTTCATCATAGCTGGTTCCGCTCAGGAGGCCTGGGAAGCGATAGTGCACTATGTGTTCAAGGCCGATATCGCAATAGTATTGCGACAATAGTCTTCGGGAAATTGTTGTTACGAATATGGTGAAGCGCATTACCGAATTTGCTTCACGGAAGTCACCCACGGGTGATGACATTATTGTGTGAGTCCTTCCTACCTGTCCACTTCGGTCGTGAATGTTCCCTCTCAGCTACATCGATGGAGCATTCGACGTGTTTAATGTTGGTCATGCTGCTACTCTTGAAAAGGCTAAGGCGTGCGGAACGTACTTGGTCGATCATAGCTATGTATGCATCCCATTCAACTTGTGTTTTCAAAGGTATCTCATAGTTGGCGTCTTTGACGATCGTACAGTGAACGAGATGAAGGGCTGTAACTATCCTGTCATGAACTTGGGAGAAAGGGTGATTTTCGCGATCCCCAGTCTGGATCGGGCTCCTTGTGTGCGAAGTAGGTTCTCAATGTCTGCGCCTGCAAGCATGTTGATGATGTCGTTATTGGAGCACCTTTGGATGTTACTGAAGAGTTCCTTAGGAGTCTCAACATCAGAGTTGTTGTTCAAGGATCCCAGAGTACGTCGTGATCTACAAGTCGTTGTGTGTCCTGATGAGCATTTCTTCTCAGCTCTCCATCCGTCGAGTGAAGTGCCTTGTGATGAACGCGGTGTAGCCTCTTCGCACCTTAGTCTGCTATCACTTATTATTCGTTTCTCGTTTCCCGCTCTCACTGGTTCATAGCCGAGATCACCATCGCGTTATCAGGTACAGCCAAATAATGAAGTGCCGAGGAGGTTGAGCATTTTCAAGGAGGTCGTGAGTGACTATCCTGCTCTCACGGTCACGACTATTGCTGAGAGGATCGCCTGTAACAGGCTGCAGTAGGTCTCGTCCCCGTTGGGTTGGCTTCGATGAGCTCTTTCGTAGATACATCGCGGAACGACGTGAACGATCCAAGTCATGTCAGTAGAATTCTCGCTGATATGAGAGCGAGAACCATCACTATTTTACTTTGAAAATGCTCGTATGGGCTTAGATGTTATTTATAGTCACAACCGGTGCTCATATTACGATCAGAATTCCGAGGAAACTCATGATGGATGTGTAGACTCATTTCCCAAGTTTTTATCTGGTCGAGTTGCGTCTCTCAAGTACTTCGTAGCGAACACTAGTTATCAATCATCAGTACTGATATAGAGGACTCTCGGAGTCCTCCTATACTACCACCCGATTCAGTCT